AACAAAACAAGTCAGCGTTTCGCTCTTTCCATCCTTCAAAATAAGGCTAGCTTCTGGGGCTTGAAAGTACTCTGGTGCCCTGTTGCTATTGTGATGTTTTAGCTCCGAAAACCAACCTTTCAGGAAAGCTTTCTTGCAGGGAAGTGGTTGAACCAATTATAAAACTTACTTGCAAACTGGCAGTGCATTTGTGTCACTGCACTCTGCTGGGAGCAGCGTTAGGCCTTTCTGGGTGAGTGAGACGTCTCATCCCTTTCCAGCAGGCTTCTGGTGGACGCAGTACTGCCTTGGTGTCACGCTGCTGTTTTTGTGACCTTCCTTTTGTTTTGAACGGAGCTGGACTGTCATTCTTGTCGACCTTCCACTGCTGCAGTACATCGGTGTTGCTGTTCGGGGAGTGAGGACCACTGCCACCAGGCACTTTGAACCCCAGGCTTGCAACTGTAATGAAGATGCAGTCAGCTTCCATAGCGCTCCTTGAGTCATCTCCTGAGACGAGTGGGAGCAGATTTCTGCTTGCTAGGGCTGAAGCTTCTTCAATGAGAAGTTCTCTCCTGCAACTTTGTCAGGGTCACAAGGAATGGCTGAAATGGATCCAACCTGCATGGCTAAATGTGCACCCAGTGTGTGGTGGTTGTGGAGGGGGCTGACTGAGTGCAGGACTTCTGAGCCTCTGGCTGACCCTTCTGACGCTTTTGCAGTAGGATAACATAAATGGCAGATGACGTTGAATGTCAGACTTCCCATTTTAACAGAAAGAGTGTTCTTCCTTTTCTTGATTCTATCTTCATGCTAGTGTCTAACTGTTCATATTTGAGATGGAGATGCTTGATCTTGCTGTGAAGCATTGGTGCACCCCTCCCCAGGTCTAAGGAACTGCATTGGGGCTGCTATTAAAAAATCTGCATTCCAGCAAGTCTCATAAGCCTACAGAGAGTAACTGAGCTTGAGGACTCTGCCTCTTGTCTTTTGTAGGGCTGTTTGTTTTTTTTTTCCTCCACTCTCACGACAGTGGTTTCTCCCCAGATAGCTGCACTAGGGATGGCACTAAAGAAGAATTTAGAGCCAATAAACAGTCTTGCATTATGCAATAATAAATGATAAAGGTTAATGTTTTATTTTTGTTGTATATAAATGACTCAGGACGTTTGTAGCTCCTCGGTGGGATTTGATAACTTTATTATCCCTATAATAAGATTTACAAATTAACTGTCTAATTAGCAACCTGGGAAAGCTGCTGCTTGTACTGTAGTTTCTAAACTGACAGAGATACAATCTTAAAATCCTTAAGTGTAATGAAACTAACACAGTGGCACAGCAGCATGCATCCCAGCAGTCTTGCCACGTGCATATATAGAGATGTCTAGTTGCCTGTCTGGGTAATGCACTTGTGGAACATCTATGTGGAAAGCCAGACCTCGGCTCCTGCTCAGCAGAGTGGAAACTGAGCAATCTCTTTACAGTATAATGCATTGGATTAGTCACAGGAGGAAAGATCTATTAAATCTTCTTGCCTCTGTTGGGAAGGATGCACATTTAAGAATTAAGACAGGATTACTTGCGTAAGCTCCTATACCTGAATAATTCTATTGGCTGTTGTTTTGCACAGATCGAGTATTCACCTAAACATACATGTAAATGTTTGGAATGGCTCTTTTCAAGGCTTGCAGAATTTCATTCTAAGTGTTGGATGTAAAGCTCACAGCACTGCAATCAGCAGAAGACTTCTTGTTTACTTTGGATAAATAGGCAAGGGTCATGCTTCATCATCCTCAAATGGATTTTCATTACAATCTATATTAATATTGATTGCTGAAGAACCTGCTGCTCTTGCTAAACATTCAGTGGCCACAAAGATGACTTGCAATGACTTGGATATGCAATGACTTAATTTAACTGTAATATGTAATGTTGTGAAGACACTGCAATTATTTTTTCCACTTGTAGAGAAAATGCTGCATTCCTAATGTATTCGTTAGGTCCCTGCTCAAAGGGCAGGAGGTGTTAACGGGGTGTGTATATTTAATGCCTTCTTTAATAATTAAACTCTCCAGTGAAACCTTAAAAAGGGTATGGGGAAGAGGTTGTAATAAAAACCTGGGTGGTTTCGAGCCTCACGGACCTTGGCTTTCTAGCCTCTCTTGCCATTAGAATGGGCGCTTCATGTCTTCTGCTTGTGCAAGTGAAAACATAAAATGAATGTGATTTCTGTTTTCATAGCTTCTTTAGAGAAAGGCAAGAGTGAAGAGCTGGTCCAGGGTTTGTGCATGTGCACACATGTGCGTGCTGCACTTTGGTTTCTGTCCTGCTCTCAGATGTCTCTGAGCATCAATCACTTCGCTCTGTTTTCATCTTTCCCTTACTTTGTCAATATTCCCTCCTTGTTTCCCCCCCTCACCTAACCTCTGCCTAACAAATCAAATGTCTATTAAACGGAGTATAAAAAGCTACTGTAGACTCTTCTCATGCACAGCAGAACTTAAGATTTTGTGGAATATTTTTACCGAACGTCTTTGAAGCCCACAGCTCTCCCCGCTGTGTTACGTCTCCTGCCTGCGTAGCCAGACTCTTTGGGGGCTGACCCGTCTCTGTGCATGCGCCAGGTATAACAGGGCCCCGTCCTGTCTGCTTGGCACGCGGAGGATCCAGGAGTGTCGCTTCTGAAACCCAAGCACCACGGGTTTCTGCTAGAACAGAAAGAGAAAGGTCAGATTTCTGAATTTCCATAAACCAAAGCCAGACCGGCAGCCTGCTCTGTCCCCGTGCAAGGGAGGCGTGTATGAGAAGTGAAACGGTGAGTGTACATAGAAAAGGCTAATTTGGTGAAGGCCTCCTCTAGCCTGGCAGTGCAGCGGGTGGAGGCGAACCCTCTTAGAGCCCCGCAGCGCCTTGGGCGCTCCGTGGCGTGCGGTTAGTGGCACCCGGGGAGGCCGCTGCCTTGCGAGGATAACGGCGTTGCAGGACGTTTCCCGCTGCGTGCAGCTCTGGCGTCAGGCGGGCCGGGCCGGGCCG